CACACACACACACACACACACACTCTCTCTCACACACTCACTCACTCTCACACTCACACACACACACTTATACTCACACACTCACACACTCACTCACTCACCCTTACACATCTTCTCACACGCTGGTTCCTATTCACCATGGTTACAGGAGCCACTTAATGAGAAATTTCATGAGCTTTTATCAGGAATATGAACTTGTATTTGTTGCCTTCATGGATTTACAGAAGAGTAGTCTGATATTTACAGTATCTGGACACTTACTGTAAATCCAACATAAAAATATCAGAATGTCATTGCATTAGAAACAAAACATCACAGATGCACAAACACATTTTGAAATGATAAAACATCTGTATTCAATTCATTGCATGTATCAAATGCATTTCACTTTAAACCGAACACAATTAAAACTATTTTTAAAGATGCTCATGTACATCATGCTGTTGCATTGTATTCTATATTTTTTTTAGGGTGTAATAATTTACAATACTTAAAGATATTTAAAGGAAGATTACTTTTTAGAAAGTATATTTTCATAAATATACTGTTGATATATTGAGACAACTTGCCCCACTATACGATGAACATGTTATTAAATGGGATAAATAAATTTATTTGAGTAGTATTATTGTTAACTAAATTAAGGTTTTGTAACTTGAAATAAAAAAGTTAACTGAAATAAAATATTTAAAAACTTAAACTTTTTAATTTCACCCCATTTTATTTCTCAGTTTTGTTTAGTTTAACTTACTAAAATAACTCAAACTAAAATAGAAATGAATGAAAATGATTCATTTCTATAAAAAAAGCAAAAACGAACAAATATGTCAAGCACACAAAATTACAAAAATGTTAACCTAAGTTGAAATGAAAACAGAAAATATATAAATAAAATGAATTGAAAAACTATAATATTATAAAAATGATACTAAAATAAAACAGTTATATATATATACACAATATCTCAATACAAAAATACTGATATATTGAAGTTCTATACATTATATATATAGTTTGAAATATATATATAGTGTGAAACTTTTCAAAGGTACAAATGAGATTGTGTTTTGCAGATTTATCTTCATAATAAAAGCTGGTTCACACACAAACGCAGCGTTTCACAAATCAATCCCTTACATTAGCAGCAAATGTTTCCTGACAAATGAATGTGTCCTAATGTGTTCGGAAAGATTTATATACTTCTACAGTGGGTTTGTTTGATGGATACATCACTGCTTTTGTTTATCCATTAATTAACATTCCAGGAAAAAATGACTATGGTTCGTAATAAGCCCAGAAAAGACTAAATTTACTGACAAAATGCTAAAATAAGCTGACAAGAGATGCTTGCTTTCACAGTCAATGTTTAAAAGTCTTTAAGAGTCAGAAAGGAGATTGAATCAATACACTAAGCCACAATACCAACACAATAATGAGAGCCGCTCAGATGCAGATCAATAAAACAATCAATGAAATATTAGACAAACTCAATGAGACTCAAAGAGACCTTCAACCTTTCGCAATCACTGGATATTTGATGCATTCAAGTCACTGTCTGAATGAAAACCATTTGACTTTAAACCAAACAGAATTAAAACTCTTTCTAAAGATGCTCATATACATCTACAGAAAGTCTATAATTGTGTATTTTAGCACAAAAGAGCTGTGGTGCACCTGATGTTCATGTGGATATTAATAGATCATCAGCTCTCTAGAGACGTGAAAGCTGCTTCTGAATCATTATTTTCACCAGATTCAGTCTGATTCAGCACTTTTTTTTCACTATTCTGCTTTGCACATTGTACTTTTTCATGATGCATGAACCGTAACCAAGAGGAAAAACTCATTATATTCCTTTACAGTGGCACAGATCATCGGAATCAATCTTTCAGATGGCATTTATCAACATTGATCTGAATGTTGTCTGTTAAATCTAGCCATTAAATAGACTGTAATACATTACAACATGTTATGGGAGATGACTAGAAAGTATATCATATTTCAGTAAGTAGTTGTAAGTTCAAGTTGTCGATACGTTGTGACAATTTGCTCCACTACAGGATCAACATGTTAAATGAAACATGTTAAAAACAAATTATATATATATATATATATATATATATATATATAGTGTGTGTGACCCTGGAGCACAAAATCAGTCATTAGTAGCACAGGTATATTTGTAGCAATAGCCAACAATACATTGTAAGTATATTTTGTAAATTTCCTACCGTAAATATCAAAACTTAGTTTTTGATTAGTAATATGCATTGCTAAGAACTTCGTTTGAACAACTTTAAAGATGATTTTCTCAATATTTAGATT